GCAATTTAAGGTAGCCTGTTTGAGATGGTTGTTTTTTAGTCTCAAGTGACAATTTTGTTGCCTAAGTAACGGCTGCAAATTTAGCAAACATTGGTCAACCATTTTGTTTATCCTTCTTTAAGTTTTTTGCATTCTTCCCTCAAAGCTTCCAGATACCTCTTCAGGAACATTCACAAATGTGTAATGTTACCTTACATTGGGAAGTATTCAGAGTCAAATTAAACCTTGATTATTTTTTAAGTTGATGCCATCTGTCTTGGGGCCTCTTGCCCTTGGGGTTTTAAATGAGCTGTTACAAAGGCAGAACAAATAATGGAGTCCCCATCTATCTGCACCAGCCCTCCCCAAGGTGCCCACAGACCCAGTTGTAAAAGCAAACAAGCATTTTTAAAGGGTGGCCAAGCAGGGGAGGAAGCAGGGGAGGAAGCACACTAACTCCTCACAGAGTTAAAGTGTGCAGTGGGGGTCTTCATAAGGAGAGCATAGTGTGCTGTAAAGGTTGGGATGTTGCTTGTATACAGTTTGTGTGTGTCTGTGTCTGTGTGTGTGTCTGTGTCTCTGTGTGTATGTGTGTGTGTGTCTGTGTCTGTGTCTGTGTGTATGTCTGTGTGTGTCTGTGTGTATGTGATAGATGAGGATATACTTCCTGTCAATTAATCTCTCCCAAAGCAGTTTGTGTATGTCTGTGTGTGTCTGTGTGTGTGTCTCTCTGTGTGTCTGTGTCTGTGTGTGTCTGTGTGTGTGTGTCTGTGTGTGTGTCTGTGTGTGTGTGTGTGTGTGTCTGTGTGTCTGTGTGTCTGTCTGTGTGTCTGTGTCTGTGTGTGTGTCTGTGTGTCTGTGTGTGTGTGTCTGTGTCTGTGTGTGTGTGTGTCTGTGTGTGTGTGTGTCTGTGTCTGTGTGTGTGTGTGTGTGTGTGTGTGTGTGTGTGTGTGTGTGTGTGTGTGTGTCTGTGTGTATGTGATAGATGATGATACACTTCCTGTCAATTAATCTCTCCCAAAGCACCTCAAATTCTCTGAATTTGGTCCCTAGTGCATCCCAAATGACACCCTATTCCCTATATAGTGCACTACTTTTGACCAAGCCCATAAGTTCAGTAGTACACTATATAGGGCCGGGGTTCACAAACCTTTTGGGGCCGGGGACCACTTTTGTGATAGCAAATTAATCAGAACTCGAGTGAGATAAAAATAACATACAAGGAGTTTTACTTTGACTTCGGTAGTGCATGGCCGGACGAACCAAGTCATGGGTCCTGGGAAGGAACATTTTAAAGGCCTGCCTTTTGGCATCATAGAGAAAATGTTGTCATTTTTAAGCAAATTTTGTC